GAAAAGTCTCCAGCACTGAGTTCTGCTTATAACATGCTCAATTACAATCTGTAAAAACGTAGCATCGAGAAGCTAAACTAGGCCCTGGAGAATGTTAACACAATGGTTTTTCACCTATGTGTCTCCGAGCCCTATGGAGGGTGGTAGAGAGCAGGCTGCCTAACAAACCTCTTTCCACCCCTCACCTAGCCTTAGCTAAAGCTCCTCCTTAGTTCATTTGCAAAAAGGTTTCTGCATTAAATATAACAATAAAAAAGATATGATCCAACACACTCATGCTGTTAGAAGCCTGCATCCTAAACCTGCTGTTTCCTGATCTGTTCCTGTCCTGCATGGCCCTATCACCTGTCAGTCTGGCTTCTCACTGATCGTTGGCACCTGTTGCCTGATATGGCTTCTTCAAACCCTGCTCCCTTGACTGTAAGCCTGTTTAAGTAGAACTATACTCAATCCTTGGATAAAGCCTATTTCCAGCTACCCTTGGTAATAATCTAGGTGGTCCCAGCTCAACCTTTTAAGTCAAAAAATTGGCACACAGGTCAACAAAACGTCTCAGAAGAAAATCAAGGAGGACCAGTGGAATCATGCTGGGAGAGTTGCGGCTGTCACTCATACCTGAGTTGTTATACTATTCATGTATCTGCGTCTCCATTAGACAGAGGTAGAAACCACACCTTACTAATAAAATATATTTATTGTATTTAATAAAAGAAAAGCTACTATTATCTAATGTTTACTCCAACTACTGCACTAAGTGTAAATGTATATTGTGTAATATTGAGGAGTGATGCTCGGGTCACACATTCCTAGAACTGGAAGGAGCCCTGGACAGAGATCAACTGGCTGCAAAACTGAAAGCAAAGTGACACAGTGGATTAACACTCATTCACTATCTCAAGAAATATTGATTACCTAGTCCCTAGAACCTAAGGATTCCGTGCTAAAAAGCACAAAGTCTTTGTTTTCATGAAGCATATATTCTAATAGGTAAATGATAAATAAATTGATCCAATGTGTTAGAGATAATGAAAAGAATGAAGCAGAAATAAAGTACAGAAAAAGGAAGCAACTTTATGCAGGGCCGTTGAGGAAGGTCTCATTCAGGCAACATGTGAGCAGAAGCCTGAAAAGCACCCCATGCGGAATTTGTGAGAAAAGTGTTCCGACAGAGGGAACAAACGCCTGGTGGTGTGACAGGCAAGGGCACAGGAGTAGAGTAAGAGAAGAGTGAAGGGAGGTGAGGTCAGAGAAGTAGTGGGACCAGATCGGCTGGCTTTGGGTCACTGTAAGAACTTTGAATTTCAGCCAGGCACTCAAGATAACCCAATTCCTAAGAAAATAAAAATAAACGACATTTAGCTTTCACAAAAGCAATGCATAATAAAGAGACTTTCACCTGCATGCCCACTCTGAAAATAGAATTTCCAGCAACTCAGGGTCACTATGTCTTACATGTAATTAAAACATCTTTGGCGGGAACCGAACCCAGGTCTCTCCGGACCGCAGGCGGATGCTCTAACTGCTGAGCCAAACCGACCAGGGCAAAACATCTTTGTTTAACAAGAAATCACTGCAGTTATCCAGTCTAAGCTCTGTTTTACCAATGGGGAAACTGAAGTCCAGGAAGAGTACGTGGCCTGCCCACTTAGTGGCTGGCCTTGAGCTACAGGTTTCCTGTGCTTTTCACTGGCCCCTACTGCCCCTGAACAGTTTGGTTGCTAAGAGGGGTCCTGGTTTCCCATGTGGTGCTTTCCCCGGCCTCTGTAACCTTTATTAGTCTGTAAGAAAACGAAAGTTCCACTATGAGGCACCTCCAGACACATTTCCACGCCCCCAGTCTGTTATTACAAACTCCCACGATTCCAGTTTTTCATTGTCACAGAGTTCAAGACAACCAGGCAGGTAAGGTGAAGGCATGTGAGGCACTGTGCTACACTGTGAAGAGCGGTTTTGTTGGTTTTGCCTGCCCAACATCCCTTACTCCATGCTCCTAGAAACAGCATCCTTTCTCCAAGGTTCTGGTAGGGTAACAATCAAAGTCCAACCCACCTACTGGAGTGGACATAGGAACTGGGCCATTTGAAGAACCTTCTCCCTCTGATGCCATAAATGAGGGCTCAGGGTCAAGGAGAACCAACCAGAACCCTTCCCTGGGTTTTGTGGGTAAAGGCTAGAGAAAGACACTCCAGCCTGTTTCCCAGCTATCTGAGCTAAGGCATTCCCATTTTGCTCAGGTTAATTTACATTAGGTTACTGTCATTTGCAACCAAAGCATTCATACTCATGCAGGCACTTGCATACCTTTTCTCATTCCATCTGCAGGTTGTTATTCCTCTATTTTAAAATTGAGGACACTGAGGTTAAGTATCTTGCCCAAGTTCATACAGTAAGAGGTGTTCAAATTCATAAAGTAAGAAGCATTCCAATTCAGGTCTTTCTGCTCTAAGTACCATTCTATCTCCAGTTATGAATTCAGTATTAAGAAAACTTACTGCCATTCTAGTCTAAGAACTGAATTTTTGTTTAAAATTATATTGAACATTAAAGGTAGGAGGATGCGGCAGGGTGGGGGGTATAATAAATAGCATTAAAGCACCTGGCTTCTCCTTCGGGGTGGGGGGTATAATAAATAGCATTAAAGCACCTGGCTTCTCCTTCTGGTTCTGTCCTATGAACTCAGATGTTAGGACTCTGGGCAAGTTGTTTCACTTACCTGGGTATTTTCCCACGTATAAAATGAGAAGCCTATACAAGATCCTTTGAAGTACATAAAGAAAAAAACCATGGTTCAGCTTTAGGTAAACAGGTTCTATTTTTACTATATATCAGGTAAGATGTCAAGCAGATTTCAACTTGAATGTCAGGCCCCACAATTGGTAATGGTTACCTAGACACAATGTTGAAAAGGATTCTGAGCTATACGGAGCTGCTGGGAAATTAGCACTGGCTCCCATGGTCACAGGGGAGCGAGGGAGGGAGAGGAACAGCTGCCAGCTTGCCACACTTTTGCCATCAGTGATAAGGAGTTTCACCTTGACAGAGGAATGCTGCCACTCCACTACTGATGCTATTAGTACCTGCACCAGATGTTCACTGATTCCTTCAGGCGCTTACTTGGTTCACCTTTGCAAGCAAGGAATCAAGGTGCAAGATAGCTAAGTGATTTAGGGAATATAGCTTGGCAAAAATGATGAAAATAGTCTAAACAGCCTACATGGGGTTGAGGTAGGAGGTGAAGGGGAACAATAATAATTAGTATGGTCCTTTATGATCTATACAGACTCATAAAATCCTAATAATTTTCTTAACAGGTAAGTACGGTATTATCATGCCCAAGTCACCTGCTTCTAAGTGGCAGAACCCAGATTAAAATGCAAGTCTTATAAATCCAAGTCCTAGTCCTCTCTCCACTCCCAAGATCCCCATTAGTCCCACAGACCAAGTAAGTTAACTAATCAAGCTCTCACTGCAAAGTGGCATATTCATCAGTTTGGAGTTGTTCAGATATAAGTTCCACCAAAATTTGAAATGTCATTACTAATTTGTTTGTAATTTAATGCGTAGACATGCACAGAGTATATAAAAATCAAGCATAAACGTCACCTATCTCCACACCTTTGTGCACACTCTTAGCCTGAAATGCCCTTCCCCACCCTGTCGGCACAGTAACCACCGCCTCTATACAGTTGTTCTGGGCACTCGGGAACAACAGAACACATTTCCTCTGTGCCCTATACAACATCTACTAAGCTTTATGGCATCTGTTTGGTTAGTATGTTTGTTCCCCACAGCAGTCCTTTGAAATTGTGTTATACTAACACAGTGCTGGTCAGAAGGTAGGTGCTTACTAGATGTTTACTGATAAGGTTGAATGGATTTATCTGGTCACCTCTCCTCCCCCACCCCATGCTTAAATATCCTCTACAAACGGCCACTCGTTAATTCATGCATACATATATTCATTAAAAAATATCTGAGTGTCTGCAAAGTACCAGGTATTGGACCTCTGTGCCAAAAAGAAGTGCATTTACCATGAAATGAACGAAACCTAAGCCCTCTCACTCGCACCTGCCAAAGCTCTGACCCTTCTTTTGTGATTTTGTCACTTTACTTCTTTTAAGAGTACAGACAGCGCTGTATAAGCGTTAAGCTACACAAAAACAATACCCACCCTTGGTGCCAAAGATACAAAAGTGAACAACGCAAACATTCTCTCCCCCCTTACAGAGTTTAGTGGGGGAAGACGACAACCATTTGCTTTTTTTTTTTTTTTTCCTTTTTTCATTCAACAAGCATATACCCCGAGGCCAAGCCCACACTGCTCCTGCCCTGAAGGCGAAGGCCCCTGCTCTCCTGAACGAAAGCCTGCTGTTTTCCTGCCGTCCTCGGGGAACGCAAAGCCGTTGAGATGACTAACGCAGTGTGTCTGTGAATGATTATCTCACACCAGTCCGAGGGCCTACTGATCCCTAGCCCGAGCCCTCATCCACCGCGGGAGGCGGGGGGAAAAGAGAGGTCAGCTGAGCAGGATCTTTGACCTCAACCCAGGGGCTGGGGGGCAGGGAGAGAGGAGCCCGGAGACGGGAAAACACTGGAGGCGACCACACTGTGGTCGGGGCTGCGACAGGAAAGCGAAGGACGGTGGGGAAACCTCCCGGGCGTTCAAGGCTGCAGTGACAGCGAGCTGCCCGTCTCCCCACCAGCCCAGGCACTCGGCGGACGGAGATTTCCGAGCGCCGGCCCCTCCCCCAGCCCCAGGGGAGAAGGGCCCGCGCGAGCTCCCCGGTACTGTCCGTGCTCCCGGGAAGGAGGCTGTGCCGTTCCCGACACAGCCGTCGGCTCCCTGCAGCCAACCCTCGTCCCCTCAGGCCACCTGCCCCCAGGCGCTTCTCGCGCACACCACTGGCGGGACAGGGTCGGGGCTGGGGGCTGGGGGCTGCGGGCTGCGTCGCGGGTCCGCCCCCACCTCCAGCCCGCCGTTTCCATAGCAACCAGCTCACCACTTCGCGCGCTCGGCTGGAGAAGTCGCCCTTGGGCCGGGGGCTCCGGCGGAACAACTCGTCGCGGCTGCCATCGACCCCGCCGCCCACCGCCACTCCCAGCGCTTTGTTCCGGGTCTTCACGGTCTTCACGCTGGCCCGGAACAGCAGTGTGATGTCCACCGCCATAACGCCCCGCACCTACAGCCCGTACCCGGCCGGCCCACGTCAGCAGCCGGCGACCGCCGCACGCACCCGGCCGCGGGAGGACCGTTCCGTCTCTGCACGCCTCCGCCCGCCAACCGGCGGCGCGAGAAGAAAGGTTCCGGCCTCCGCCTGCCAGCCGCGGCGCGAGAAGAAAGGTTCCGACCTCCGCCCGCGCGCGTGACGGGTCCTCGCGGCGCCTCGAACCCGGAGACGCGTACACCTGCGCCCCTTTCTCCTCTCGGGAGATCTGGCCCAGCTTGACGGCACGGGGAAATCCCGGAGCCCGTTCGGGGAGTGTGGGTCCCGGGAGCGAGAGATCGGGAAGCGAAAGGCTCCGCCCCTTCTCGTGGTTCCCGCACTGAGCCCCGCGCGCCGGCTGCGTGGGACCGGAGGCGACTCAGCCTGACCTCTGACCTCAAGGACTCACCTTGTGCGGGACCAAAGCGCGTGGACAGCGACCATCTGGGTGCAATTAGTGCTACGGCAGAGCAGGTGTGCTCGGCCCAGAGCGGCAGGCAGCCTTCTGCCTCCTGAAGCCAGTACCTTCCCCAGAGTATTATTATGACAATAAGCGATCACACCTGCTTTTTGGCGTTGCTTGGCGCCCAGTGATCAAAACAAATCAGTTACCGTCGTTAATAATATTGTTATCATTCCTATTTATGGTGAAGAGCTCTGTAGAGAAGGCATCGCTATTGGAAAGGCAGGTTTGAAAGATGACTGATTTTATCAGATGGAGGCCAGTGCAGAAGAGTGTGGCCGGGTTCTATTCATCCTCAGTGTTACAGTGTTAAATATAGTCGTGGTTAATTACACTGCGTTAGCTAATGAGCTCTTACTACATTTTGGCTCAAGTTTCAGATTTAATTCAGGACCTCACTGAGTTCAAGTTTGTTTTCTTTTTCAAGTTTATAAATAACTAGGATATGTATTGAAACTGGTTGTCCAAGAGGGGTCAGCAAGATGAAGAGTTATTTTCGTAATACTAATATGTCTGACTTTTCACTCTCACTCTCTCGTGGGTTGCACACAGCTGAATTTTCCAGAGGCTGTGTGACACCGTAATATTGCAAAACAATGAATGAGAACAATTGCCTATTAAGCCAGACTTTAGAGTGATTTGCAGAAATATAAAAGGATGCCATTCTCACTAAGTTTTTTGTTTGTTTGTTTGTTTTGGAAATGTATTTTTCACACAAAGATACCATTTATGTTAATGTAATATATTCATTTTTGTTTTTAAGTGAGTGAATATTTAAAACTTTTGTTTTCGTTTCTAATATGGTACATATCAATAGACAAAACACATGTAAACAAAAGTTAATATTTAGGGTCCTCGATAATTTTTAAGCGTGTAAAGGAGTTCGGAGACCAAAAGTTTGAGACCCACTGTGTTAAATAAGTTCATCAAAAATAGATGTCAAGAAAGGGCAATGTACCCGAAAGGAAGAGAGAAAATTCAGGCTATAGCCCCTTCCACCTTTCTGTATGAGGAAAATAAGTTTCCATATAGCTTTCTTCTGCCTATGGAGAAAGAGGGAGAAAATGAGAAAGAAATGACAAATTTTCTGCCGATGCTTCTGTCTGGCATAAATGGTCCTTTGTCTTACCGAGACATTAATGAGTCTGACTATGCAAAAGTAGGCCTGGGCAGAGTGGAAGAGAGTTAAGTAGCTAGGCATAAGGTAGTGAATGGGAATGAATTAAAGGTAAGAGAGGGGAAACAGAACCCAAGGAGGAGACTGGTTCTCGGGGAAGGGTTTTACAGTGGGAGGTGGCTGAGCTACACCTAACCCTCAATGTGTGTACTGTGTTTGGTACGATTGGTTTTTTTGGAGGTGAGAACAAAGGTCTAAGTTTTCTCCCCAGATCTGCGAGAGCAGAGAAGATTGTGGGGATGAGACCAAGTGAGCACAAAACATCAGGCTCTAAAAGGCACAAGTGACCACAAGTACATGATATGCCTAGAAAAGTCAATGCAGAGGCCATTAGTCTACCCATGGGGTCATGGGATATGAGACTTTCCTTTTATTCTTCTTCCTTTTTTTTTTTACTCTTAACCTCAGAGAGCAAGGATCTTTCCGTTGACGGTGGACTGATAACTATTTGAAACCCCATAAAGCTGAGAGGATATGGATGAAAACAGTGAGGAAGGATGCTACGAACTGCCCAGTCTGAGGTAGTACATATACAGGTTGTGTAAGTAACAATGTCTCATTCGTTGGGCCAGGTACTCCTCTCCTGAAAGAGCAAGGCACGTTGGAATTCCCAAATACAGCTCCCTCCAGCTGCGCCCTCTGTCCCATCAGGATAGATGCAGGCAGCTTAGAATCTTTTGGGGACTTTAATAGAAGTCCTTAAGGGCAGCCTCAGCCAAAAAGGGCGTATATCCAGATGCCTACCCCATGACAGATGTGTGCTGTGAGAGATAGCTGTCAGCCATGGAGCTGTTGTCATTGTCGCATCCTTCAGAAAGCCTGGTTGTATAGCCCTACTACCTTGGGAAAGATGGTATAAGCAGGCATTTGCTGCATGGAGGGTGCCCAATGCCTGGACATGTGAATTCTTGTGGGGTGGCATGGGAGACCCGAGCTTTCTGGGCCCATGGAATTATGAACTTGCCACAGTAATATAGTAACTGGAGACCTTGGCCAATGGACCAAAGGGTCGAGGGTTTGATTCCCGGTCAAGGGTATGTGCCTGGGTTGCAGGTTCAATCCTTGGCCCAATAAGAGTCCTACAGGAGGCAGCCAATCGATGTCTCTCTCACGTCAATGTCTCTCTCTCTCTCTCTGCCCCCCCTCACCCCTCCCTTCCATTCTCTCTAAAAAAAAATCAATGGAAAAAATCCTTGGGTGAGGATTATCAAAAAATAGAAAGAACATGTGCTTCACTGCTCTCTTTACCCTCTGCCATGACAACCCGTAATATCACAGTGTTTCCTCAGCCGGGTCCCTGAGTAAAGATGACACAGAGCACAGCCAATCAAGGGTATGTGCTGGCAGTAAGAAGTAAACCTTTGTCCTTGTCCATGGAGATTTGTGATGGTTATTAGTGCAGCATAACTAGACCTTCTCGATTGATAAAACCCATACCCAGATATCTGCCAAAACAAGACTATCGGATGCGTTTTTCACTTACCACCATCCCTGGGTGGGAATTGCAAGCCTGGACATCAGGCAGAGACAGGCCCCAAGGCTACTAACATCCAGTGTCTGCTGGCATGCACTGCCCAGGTACCGCAGAGATGTGGACACCAGTAAGCAAAAGGCTTCAGGAGAGAATGGAAAGCTATTGTATTAACCTTCATCCGGGTCTGACCTGTAGCTTCTGGACACAGTAAGGCCCAGACCCCCTCAACTATATTACACATTCACTGTTCTCTCTGGACAGCGGTAGCTGTGAGTGTTTTAATACCTATGGAATCGTTGCAGGGTACATAGAGACATTTATCAGATCCCTGAGCTCTTTCTAGGAAAAAAAACAAAAAAAATCCCAGGAAATAGCTGGAATGAGTAATAGGAAAAACAAACGAACAAACAATACTTGAGATTTGGAAACTGAAAGACTTGGGTTTGAATTCCAGATTCCCTGCTCACTAGCAGTGTGACCTCAAGCGAGTTACTTCTCCTCTCTGAGCCTTGTATGAAAAACAAGAACACCTATTAATCACTCCTGCTTCCATGAGTAGGAATTTCCTCCTAAATACCCTTTCCTCTTCCCATTGAGCCAGTATTAGTCATCCGGTTGTTGGACAACAGCCACCAGTCTGCATTTTTCATTTCAATTGGTTGGAGCTGATCGCCCATCATTTCTGAACTGAGGACACTGGCTCTTTTGCAGATGTCAGTGGGAGGAAGAGACTGGGAGGGGTCTGTTCTGCATACATGTACTTCACCTTGGAAGGGAGCTAGAAACTAGAATGCTACCAGACCTCTCTCCATCTCTCTCTCCCTCTCTCCTTCAATATAATTGTCTCTGCAAACCAGCTTTCTCTGCTTCTCAGTTCACGTGGCTGAACATGGGCCACTGTCAGCTCCTGAGTTTATATGTTATGTTTCTAGTCGCAGCTGTATCAGTTCCAAGCCTAAATTCTGAGCATGCAGGAAAAAATTGGCCCAGGTTAGGACAGACATCTCTCCTGGTCCAGTCGGCTATGGCTCAGCATCCAGAGTCATATGGTTCACACATGGCTGTCAGGACATACATACTCTGATGATTGGGGGTTTGGAGGCTTTACTAGTTTCCTGTAACAAATTAGCACAAACTTAGTGGCTTAAAACAACGCAAGTTTGCTGTCTTATAGTTCTAGGGGTCAAAATTCCAATGGGTCTCACTGGACTAAAATCAAGGTGTGGGCAGGGCGGCGTTCCTTTCTCAAAACTCTGGGGGAAAATCCACTCTGCCTTCTCCAGCTTCTAGAAGCTGCCCACATTTCTTGGCTTACGGCCCCTTCCTCCACCTTCAGAGCCAGCAATAGCGGGGCAAGTCCTTACAACCTATCACTCTGACGCCAATGGCTTTCTCATCCACATTTAAGGACACTTGTGATGACATGGGACCCGCCCAGCGAGTCCAGAATAATCTCTCTATCTGAAGGCAGCTGATTAGCAGTCTTAATTTCATCTGCCACCCCAGTTAGCCCTTGCCATGTGACATAGCATTCACACATTCCGGGCATTCGAACTTGGACACTGCTGGGGACCATCATTCTGCCCACCCCTGGGGAGAGGGAGCTCTAACAGAAAGGTGCAATGATTGTGAGCCGAGCAGACAGCGCTTGCGTGTCTTCCTGGATGAGCAGAGATTCACCCATCATTTCCGTCTCCCAAGCAATGTTTCTGGGCCTGCTCCTTGTAACACTGGGGGGTCTACTGAAACAAGGAGGACGGAAGCATTGCCCTTGCAGGATTTCCTGTGGCAGGAGGCTCTCACAGGCCCACAGTGCAAGGCAGCGCTCCCCTGACACCTTCTAGCCCTTTCTGCCCGTGCTAACCCATCCTAAAGG